TTATTTTTCAGGCCCACTTGTTGATATTGTCCAAGCAAAGAAGAAAAAAAGAAAGAAGACAAAGAAGTGGGCTGGACTTTTACCATACTAGTCAGAAGAGCCCAAAGGAAGAAAAAAAAAGAATAGAAAAAAAAGAATAGAAAAACTAAGAAGAAAAGAAATGGGCTGGAATTTTTAATGCAAGTCAGAAGCCCAAGGAAAGAAAGAGAAAGAAAAGAAAGAAGAGAGAAAGAAAAGAAAGAAGAGAGAAAGAAAGACTCAGCAGCGTGAAAAAAGAAAAAAAGCTGAGACTTGCAAACCCTAGCCACAATCCCAAACCACCCATCCTGATTCCTTTCTACTAATCGGACCACTTAGCCATCTTGATTTCAATCAGTCCATCAAACCCACAAATCAAACCAGCCACACATAAAGAAGAATCTCTTTTTATTTTGCGAATATGAGGCAGTTACGGGTCGATGGTGCGAAACGAGCGTGGAGTGGAAAGGTGCACATGTGTTGATTGATCTCATCGTGTGAGAGGAGACACATGGATTCTGATCTAAAGGCGTGTTGATTGATCTCATCGTGTGAGAGGAGACACGTGGATTCTGATCTAAAGGCTCACGTTGTTGCTGCTTGCAAGGAGTAGAGGATATAAAGAAGCTATGGGTAAAGGCTTTGGAGCATACTTCTTCCGTAATCTTCTTCTCCATTTTTCTTTATTTTTGATTTTCTGGTACTGTAAATAGATGCTACTTTGTTTGGATTAGAACCTGTCAGCACAGTACCGATGCTATTCTGGTGAATAGGACTCGGGCTGTGTGTTACGATTTCTGCATTTTATTTCTCTGTAATTTTTTTTATTTCGTTTGCTATTTGTAGTTCAACCCTTATGGGTATGAGCTAAACCTTTTAAGGTTGGGTGTAGGTTACCCGAACCTCAGTAATGAATGTTTGTTAAATACTTTTGTTAAATTTTGATTCTCAGTTGTTTAATACTTTGCTTTATAATTAAATATTCTGTCATTGAGGCCTTATGGTAGATATTATGTTAGGAAGTAGTCATTGAGAGGTGACTAATTCTGGAAATGTGTTAAGCACATGGACTTGATTGTGAGAGCATTCAAGGGTTGTCACTCAGAGATGAGGACAGCCACCATGTAATGTTGGACTTGAATTACATGAGTCTTTGCTTCATTTAGCACAGAGATGTGTAAATGATTGTTTAGGATAAAATGATTTTAAGAGATTAAAATCAACAAGAAGTGATCTGTTAACTGAGAGTTAAATTTTAATAATCTTTAATTAACAGTCAATTTATTGCTGTTGGAAAAGGTAAACCGAAGATCAACCTATTTTCCAAATCTACTTTTCACCAACTCAGATTTCTTTTCCTTTGATTTTTAATATTTCAATCATAGTTCTGTTTACAATTTCTTTATATAAAAATCTTTCTACATCAGATACCTAATCTGTTTTCCTTCCATTTTTCACCATTTAGCTCATGAAAGCAATTCTTTAAAATTATGAAAATCCTAAAACAAATAGAGTAAAGTAGTCAATGCTATTTTAACTTAGTCTTGTGGTTATCTTGTTTTTATTTTTAGTCTCTTTTTAGACTAGAATCAGTTTTAGCAATTGCACTTTGCATTTTTTAAATTTCCGACAAAAGATTCTTGTGGGAACGATAACTGGGACTCACAAAAGCCCTATATTACTTGTTGTCGCGTATACTTGCGCGCAAACTTGTATAACTGTTAGCAAGGCAACAAGTAACATCTTACCCAACACCTTAAACTACTAGTAAGTGATGAGCGTTTATTGGTTTTCTATTATATCTTCCTAACACACTTTTCATGCAACAGTTCTTTGGGTGTTCATACAAGAGCTCGTTAGACTTGAAGTATGACAATGCATCAGCCTTCTACTCGTGCTAAGAAGTTTCATAATATTTAATTTATTAAATTTTAATAGAATGAAGGGCGATTAGATCGAATCGTGAGACTCTTATATCAGGTAAAGAACCAACTTACTCAATAGCTCAAGCTGATAAGTGATACAACTTTAATAATTTTATATTATATTTTTTTAATATTATATCGTGAAAATTTTCAATTATTAATTCATTCATCAACAGCTGGAGCTTAAATAAAAAGTTCATAAAAGCGAAAGTTGTCACTTTAATTTTCACCATTGATATATGAATAAATAGATCTTCAGAAGATTCATCCTCCCGTGAATTTGTCTCTAAAGTAAAAATATATTTATTATTGGTTTAATTTAAGTATATCTTACTAAATCCAAGATTGAATAAGAGTAAATACCTTTTTTCGTCCCTGGCAATTTTCACGAGGCACATATTAGTCCCGAACAATAAAAAAGGCTCATTTTAGTCCAAAAATTTGAAAAAAATGGTCACGTTAGTCCTTCCGTTAGTTGGCATCTGACGACCCAACTAATGGAGCACACGTGGACCGTTACTTTGCTGAGTCACCGTTAAGTATGCCATCGTGGATGTAATACGACGCCGTTTTGCACATGCTTTATGTCTTGTTGGAGTTTTAGACAGCTGAAGGTCCTATTTGGTCCCTAGCAAATTTATCGGGGCCTTATTTAGTCCTTAACACTAAAAAACCACCATTGCAGCAAATCTTTCAAACCACCATTGCAGCAAACCACCAACCATATCATCAATTTTTAGTTAGGGGAAGGGGAGGATGGAGGAAGAGAAATAATTATGCTTTTGCATAGAATGAAGCCTCATCTACTATCTGTCATGAAAAAACTAGGAACTGACAAATACCTCCTCTGCTAGCTTGGTCGAATTGGTGCCATACTCCTCCAAAGTTGGTAAGTTATTGCTACTACTTCCAGGGCCAATAGTAGCACCAACGCTGTCAGCACCCTCACCAACCATGCGAATAACCTGTTACCATCCAGTGGAGAAAAACAAGATTGACACAAAAGTTAAGGTAAAAATATATTCATATATAATAGAAAATGTGGGAAAAACAATAAATGAGGACATAATACTAGCCTGAGTGCGAATATTAGTTGGATCAACACCCAGGTTTTCAAGAACACGTGCTGCTACACCCTCTCCTTCTCTAAGGAGACCTAGAAGCAAGTGCTCAGATCCAATATAATTGTGACCTGAAAATTTCTAGCTTAAATGTTCCAGCATGTGCAGACTAAATATTACAACTGAATATAAATTTTCCCAATCCTCCCTTCCACTCCCTAAAAAAAGAAAAAGAAAAGGCCAGCCAAAAATAAAAAAACATAAACCAATTGACCAATAAACTCCAACTCACTTCGAATGTGTTTAAAGCAAATTACTTGACAATCAATCAAGGCAGCAATCATGTTTGCAATATTTCATATAGTAAATAACTTACTCTAAAACTACTTTTATGCCCATCAAAATGCAAAATTGTAGAATTCCAAATGCTCAAGAGGGCACTGAGTAAAACTTTTTAACTCCAAATATTGTTTGACATCCTAATAACTTCAACCAATTTGTATAAATCATTTTAGTTTTTGAAGGAAGATAGTACCATCTATCAGTGGATTACCATGGATGGAAAGGTTTTCAAGCATTCGGCAGGAGCATTATGCAAGAAATGTTAGACAAAAGAGATTTATTTTGCATCATCACAGTACTTAGCAAACAGCATCTTCCAGGGAGTATTATGGATCATTTGAAGATTGGAGTCCTTTATAAATCTGAATCTAGTTCATGATCCTTATCTTCTCTCTATACCACATTACATAATGAGGTAGTTAATCCAATCCTCTGGTTTTTTACTTTGTTATTCTACTTTTTCTATAAATCATCAAAACTTACTTGAATCTACATGTAAAATGGATAAATTCACTGGACCATATATAACCAAATCAATTCTACCATTTTTCAAACAGCAACAAAAAACGATGGGAAAACTGGTAAGAAATAGCAAGTTGGAAAAAAATTGATGATATGGTTGGTGGTTTGCTGCAACGGTGGTTTGAAAGGTTTGGTGCAATGGTGGTTTTTTAGTGTTAAGGACCAAATAGGGTCTCGATAAATTTGTGGACCAAATAGGACCTTCAGCTGTCCAAAACTCCAACAAGACATAAGGCATGTGCAAAACGGCGTCGTATTACTTCCACGCTGGCATACTTAACGGTGACTCAACAAAGTAACGGTCCATGTGTGCTCCGTTAGTTGGGCCGTCAGATGCCAACTAATGGAAGGACTAACGTGGCCCTTTTTTCAAATTTTTGGACTAAAATGAGCCTTTTTTTATTGTTCGGGACTAAAATGTGCCTCGTGAAAATTGTCAGGGACGAAAAAGGTATTTACTCATTGAATAAATTGTTACGTACTCACTGACAAATTCAATTTACAGGACCTTTTTTTTTTTCTAATTAACTGTATACATTCAAATTTTCTACCAGAAAGACAGTGCTTTCAATTTTCAAAACATGTGGATCACAAAATGTCTAGAGAAATATGAAAAAAAAACCTTATCAAACATTTATTTTTTTGGATTCTAGACAAGAAAGGCTCTGTTTGATTATTGTTTTTAAAAATAATTTTTTAGTTTTCACAATAAAAAATTAAAAAATTCATTTGGTAAAGTCTGTTTTGTAAAAAATATTTTGAAAATTATAATTATTTTTTGCTTTTAAAATCAAATTTAGAGAATATGTCTGAGTTGTTTTTGTTTTCTGTTTTAGTTTTTAACTTTCAAAATAAAAAAAATAAAAAAACATAAAAACATTTGTTTCTATAATTATTCTACAAATCAATTTTAAAAAAAAAAAAAAAAAAACAGAACACAATTAAACTACGACGGAAGGTGTATCTTAATTACAATCTGTTGACACCAATTACTAAATTCAGCTCAACGTCCCCTACATTTAATATGCTCAGTCTGCTGCCTATATTTATCAGCTACAAGCTTACCACCTTCTCTTCAATTTTTCTCTGGCATTTATATTTGTCAGCTCTTGCTTCCTTCCATAGCTCTCTCATGGCTTATGTTCAGGTTATCACAACACTTCTCTTTGCATTAGCTCTCGCTGGAATTGACCCCTCAACATGCCAAATGGTAAAGGGCAAAGTCTCATGCATTGACTGCACTCACAATTACGATTTATCTGGTTTGTGATAACTCTTATCCATTATTATTGGCTTTTTTAGCTTAAATAAATGTTCATTTCTTTATACATTCTAGCCCTCATGCACCTTGATTCTATTGTTCTTCCATGGTTTCAGATATTAAGGTTTCAGTGAAGTGTGAAGGTGTGAAAAAGCTGGCTGTGGCAACTACAGAAGAGAATGGCTCCTTCAAGGTTGACCTTCCCTCAGGCCACACCAAACCTTCTTCTGTGAATTGCCTTGCAAAACTTATTGGTGGGACAGTTCAGCTTTATGTCTCAAGGAAGGACCAGGTTTCCCAAATTGTCAAGGGAAAAGAGCAAAACAGCTACACCATTTCCACTCCTCTTAGTTTCTTGACATCATGCCCCCAAAACACAGATTGTAAGGCTGCAAAACAGGTGGGTTCATCCAAAACCACCGATCTTCCTCTGCCTCCAGAGTGGGGTTTGGCACCAAGTAGCTATTATATACCTTTTGTCCCCGTCATTGGAATACCTTGATTATGTGTTCATGTGACATGTAATCAGTACTAAATAATATTTGTAGGAAGCAATCGACTGTTATATGGTCTTATTTGTAACATATTATTATAGATGCATTATGTGTACTGTGAAAGAGTGCCACATATAGTTGTGGACTTGTGGTATACAGTGTATCATAGTTTGTGAAGGAAGTTAATTTCCCAGCTTCAAAGCAGATAAATAACGTACTGCTTTGTCAACCTATGTTGCTTTGTTATGTATGATCTTGCTAATTCATAGAACTGTTCTGAAATTTTTCTCTCACCCTCATACCCCTTCTCTTAAACAAAAATTCAGTGTATGCGTGTATATTAATGATTTTGAAAAAATAAAAATGAAATAAACAGTACAATGGATAGGTGGCACGTGATCATTGATTATGTATCAAAAAGTACATCAATGTAAGCATTAACTATCACCTTCGGGTCGTTTACATTTTTATCGACAAGGACATGAAATTATATAGAAACAGGACACCAAAAATTTAAGACCAATAGCTGTTCTGGTTTCTGAGAAAGCCAGCAAAACCAAATTATACGACAAAACTATAATATCTAAGAGCATGTAAATGGGATTTTAATCCTCTCAGGTAAAAAATAGTTATGTGATCATGTTATTTAGTTATAGTCACTCATTTAAAAATCATATATTTTTCTTTCTCTTATCTCATTATTAACGAATGAAAGTTTATTGTGAGAAAATCGATTTGCAAGCCTTCAGGTCTGGTTTAGAATTCCTCAAACCACCGTCATTTTTTTTTTTGACTATGATTGAAATTAGAGCTCAAAATTTAAAATCTCTGCATCCCATTTACATATATTTTGTTAGAAAAATATAATATTAAACTGTTGACGTAATTTCATCCAACTACTTAAATTTGTATATTTATTTATGGGGAAAGATTCGTTTACAAACTTTTTTTTACAAATTAAAGTATGAGTAGCAACCAGTCGTCAATGGCAACCACTGAAAATTCTGGGACATAAGGAGCAACAAGGCGTCTTTCACAAGACGAAATGTAGGAGAAATCGCGTCAAGGTGTATGTTTCAAATGTGATGCGCACTCGAACCCAGGCCATCGTTGCATAAATCGTCAGTTCCACCTGCTTTTGTCGAAGACGAAGAATCGTCTGAAGAAATGGTGAAGGTGGACGACCAAACCGAAGATGTGGATGCGGCCGAGGCTGGCGCTGCACTGCAACTTTCGACGCAAAGCCTTTTCGGTCTGTCTTTAAGTTAAGCTTTGAAGCTTTGGTGAAAAATTCAAGGAACGCTTGTGGAGGTTTTCGTTGATAGCAGAGCTTCTAAAAGCTTCATCAGTAAGCAGATGGTGCGACAGTTGCAGCTACAGGTGGATGATACAATCCCATTTCAAGTCGAAGTAGGTGATGGTCATTGCGTGACATGCACAGAGGTTTGCAAGAGCGTGGAGGTTGAGTTACAAGGACATTTCTTTTTCCAAAATTTATTCCTATTTGAGCTTGGGGGAACTGATGTGGTACTGGGGCTTGATTGTCTTAGGGAATTGGGAGAAATAAGGGCAAATTTCAAGGAACTTACACTTATATTTCAACAAAAGGGCGAAGAGGTGTTAATTAAGGGCGACATCTCTCTTTCCAGAAAGATGGCATCTCATAAATCCTTGATGAAGGCTTTCCTTGACGATGGTCAAGGGGTTTTTGTGAAACTGGTATCTTCCCAGACAGAGGATAACCAAGCTATAGACGATTGGGAGGAGCTAGACAAGCTGCTTCTCGAATTCGATGACATTTTTCAAGTACCTACGGGCCTGCCACCTCAGCGAAGGCAAGGTCATTCTATTATCCTTAAGCCAAGCGGTCAGATTCCTAACCTGAGACTTTACAGGTATCCACATTATCAGAAAATTGAAATTGAAAAGATTATTTCTGATATGTTAGACTCTGGCATGATTGGACATAGCACCAGCCCTTACTCTAACCCTATAATTTTAGTAAAGAAGAAGGATGAGAGTTGGAGGGTATGTGTGGATTATAGGGTAACAAACTCACTGTACCTGATAAATTTCTCATGCCCTTTATAGAGGAGCTACTGGATGAATTGGGTGGCTTTGGCATATTTTATAAACTAGAACTGAAATTAAGTTTTAATCAAATATGTATGACGAAGGAGAATATAGATAAAGCAACATTTAGGACCCACGAAGGCCATTATAAGTACTTAATGATGCCTTTTTGGTTAACAAATGCCCTTTATACTTTTCAATCCTTGATGAATGAAGTGCTACGACCATATTTCAGGGAGTTTACTTTGGTGTTTTTTGACGATATCCTTGTTTTTAGCAAAGATCGTGACAACCATCTCACACATTTGCGTAAAGTTTTTGAAGCATTACGGCAGCATAGTCTGAGAGCAAATAAAAAGAAATGTTTCTTTGGAAGACGTCAAGTGGAGTATCTTGGGCATGTTATTTCCTCTTGAGGGATGCACACTGACCTTAATAAGATCTCTGCCATGAAGGATTAGCCAACTCCAAAGGATGTCAAGAGCTTACGTGGGTTTTTGGGTCTCACTGGTTACTACAGGAAGTTCATTAAAGGATATGGACAATTGGCCCAACCATTGACTGATCTACTTAAAAAGGACAGATTTAAATGGTCCTAAGAAGCAGAATCTGCCTTCTTAACCTTGAAGGAAGCTTTGTGTATGGTACCAGTGTTGGCGCTTCCCGATTTTACAAAGGTATTTACTATTGTTATTGACGCCTCTGGTAAAAGGATAGGTGCTGTTTTGATGTAGGAAAATAGGCCCATTGCATTCATCAGTCAGTCAGTCAGGCATTCCTCTTTGAGCTTGAAAAAGAATTGATGGCGATCATTGTAAGAACCCGCACCGTTAATTAAGGAAATTAATTAATTAGATATGAGAATTAGGAAATAATTCCATAATTGACTCTAATAATTATTATGAGGCTCTAATAAGTATAGTAAGTGAGTAATAATACTGAAAGTCGCTTTTCGGACGAAAAGCGCAGATACCGGTTCTGCTAGTCGTTATAAATGCGTACCGAAAAAGTATCCCAGAAAATTATAATAAGTGCATGATAATTCCTAGAATAATATGTAGGACTTGTAAAACGAGTTTCAAGTTAAAATAATGAGAACTGGTGCCAGAAACTGATACTGGCTATGAAAAGCGCGTACCGGAAAGGTGCTCCGAAAAATATAAGAAAAATATGATAATTTTTGTAAAATTTAGTAGGTTAAGAATCCTAAGTTTGAGATTAAAATACTAAGCGTATCAATTAAAATTAATACTGTGTTTTAAATGCTTAAGTGACTATATATAGGCTTATTAAGGCACAAAACCCTAGACACTCAGATTTCCTACGTGACTTGTTGAGGGTGGCTGACCAGAATACTGTTCCATTGATCTTCTCCCCATTTCTTGAGCGAAGTTGTTACCTTTGCTCCATCTCTTCATCTCTAAACTCCATTACCTTGGGTGGGTTGGTCTTGTGAGGTTGTGAGTGACTCCCTTACTGAGTTGTAGCCCCTGGTTGAGGGTGAGGAGGTGCTGACTTTGAGAGTTGGCTTGTGGGAGCTTGGGGTTGGTATTTTGAGCTTCAAAGTGCCATCTTTGTGAAGAAAATAGTCTTCTTGTTGTGCATTTTTGTGGCCCTTGGTTGTTGCACAGTGGAGTGGTGTAGGGAGCTCTTTTTCCCTGCTATTTTCTGTTTTGAGAAGCTTGGTATGCATACTCAACCTTTGATCATGAGTTTTTGGTTAAAAATGGAACCTTGATGCATGTAATGAGCTTAAGATGATAACCTAATGTTGGATAATGCTTAACACACTTAGAAATGCATGTTTAAGCTTTTGTAATCGGTAAAAGTTGGACCTTTGGTTTGGATTTTCGCGAAATGCAGAATCTGGGTTTTGTCGCGAAATATCCGGATATTTTGTTGTGAATATCCGGATATTGATATCCGGATATGGGTATCCGGATATTGATATCCGGATATGGGGATCTTAATATCCAGATATGGATATCCGGATATTGATATCCGGATATGCCCCTGACGAATATTCGGATATTCTGAGATTTTGAAGAACAGTAGCTGCAATGTTCATACAGTAGGCTATTGGGGTTTTGTGGACCCTAGATTGATGAAGTTGGACTTCTGTAATTATCAAACTAAGTCAGAATCAAGTGGTTAAGGGCTTATGGATTTGTGTGAAGCCTTAAGACATAAATCGTAAGAGGAAAACAGAGTCTTTATGTTTATTCTTATGAACTATGAATGTTGATATGCTTGCTGGTCCTAACCAGATTGTGATCTGCTGTGTGTTGGAGTTGAGCTGTGTGGACTCTTGGCATTAGATAGTGAGCTTGCAAGGTAAGCTTTCATGTCCTCGGTTTAGCCATGTTGTGGTTCCACCATGTCCCATGGGGGTATGGTTATATGCATGCTGTGTTACATGTTTTTGATGTTTTGGAAATGCTTTTGAGCTATTATATGCTAGTGTCTTTATGATATGCATGTGGTGTTCCACCTATACAGTAAGCCTGAGTATATAATACATACGATATGGTGAGGCTGTGGGTGAGGTGCAAGCGGTGTTCCTTGTACTATCTATAGGTAATAGACGTATTCCTGTATTTCTCTGGCAGGTAGAATAGTTATACACACATGGCATGAATATCTGTTGCACTGCATTGAGTTTTGGAACTTATGTTGAATTACTGCTTTTGGAACTTATATTGCACATGTAAGTGAGCTTGGGGTGGAAGATCCTTGAGGACCCCTTGTCTTACTGATATTTCTGGTTTAGAGATCTCACCTCACGTTCGGGGAATGCTTATTTCAGGTTCAGGTAATGCGAACGTTGAGACCTCTATTGGCAGGAGGCCAGAGCTTAGCTGATAGATGTTACATGTTTATGCTGATTATGCTGTTATGTTGTTATGCTGTTATGATTGGATGTTGGATCCTATTTACTGTCTTATGTTTTTAGCTTCAGTTTATGGATTCCTCTGTTGAGACTCTGTGGTTATGCTGTTGATTTGGTAAGCATGGGGATTGTCCATGCCACATAGACTTGATTATGTCTTGCTTTATTAGGAGTTGTAATAATGTATCAAGATACTGTCCGGACTACGTGTTGTAGATCCGTGATTTTAGATACTCACTTTATCTATATTATGAGGTATTTCAGTTAAATGTCTTTTTGCAATTTACATACAGACAATATTTTATGAAATTGATTAAGTAATCAACTTGGCTAAGTATAATGACGCCATAATTGAAAAGAAAAAGATATTCCGCATTTTTAATTAAGCGCAGCTTAATACGATGAAATGTTAACAAACTGGGTATACACGGGGTGTTACATTTTATGGTAGCAGAGCGACGGTTCAAGGGAAAAGCCTGTATGTAATGCAAAGATTAGGATGATTGGTTGTGTCTGTCTTGTGTGTTTGCTCCGTTGGTTTTTATTATGATGATGCATATGTAATCACACTACGTGGGCCTGATCAACTCATAATTTGTGTAACTTGTGCAGAGTAATGGTAGGATCCAGGAGAACACGTGAGACTGCTGAGGGTCAACCCGACCCAATCCTGACTGCATTGGCTGAGATGTAGGAGGCCACTAGATTGGCCAACCTGGCAATGATGGACGCTGTTAGAGAAGCGAACCAGAAGGCCACGGAGGATGCTCTTGAGGTGAACCGGCTGGCGAACATGACTTTGACGAGGGTCATGTTGGAGGAGATGAGAGCTGGTCCTGCTGTTGGTCAGTTCCCACCGCCACCTCCTCCACCGCCACCGCCACCATCGCCGCCGCCTCCACCTAGTGTTCGGGATGAGACCCTGAGTCACATTGGTACTGGTACTCATGTCACTGGGGTGTTGGAACCCTTTGTGGAGCCTGTTGAGGACCGTGATGCGATTGATCGTCGGCTGAATGCTTTTCGTAAGCATAGGCCACCTACCTTTGATGGGTCTTATGACCCTATTGCTGCGGCGCGATGGCTACAGGCGCTGGACAAGATCTTTCGGGTCATGCAGTGTACGGATCCGCAGAAGCGGATGTTCGCTACTTATATGCTGGAGGGCGATGCCCATGAGTGGTGGACGAACACTTCTCATGTTTACGAGATGCATGGCCATGTGATGACGTGGCCATTCTTCGAGGATTGTTTTCTGGGTCACTACTTCCCTTATGACGCACAGGAGAGGAAGCAAGGGGAGTTTGACAGGTTTGTTCAGGGCTCGTTGTCTGTTGACGAGTACCTGGCCCAATTTAATCAACTGGTGAAGTTTGGACACTTCCGGATGGCGAGGCCTACTCCGACATTCTTGGCTGCTAAGTACCATAGGGGACTTAGTGAGGATATTGCTGGTTACCTTGCTGGTTCTGCTTCGAGAGACTTTGGGACACTGGTACAGCAGTGTCGGGATATCGAGGAATTCTACAGCTCGAGTAAGGCCAAGAGGGCCAAGGTTGCTGAGGCGACGAAGGTAGCTGGTAGTTCCACTTCTTGGAGAGAAAGGAAGTTTGGGAACAAGGGAAGGGGAAAGCAGATGGCGGCTCGGCAAGGAAGTTTGCCAGAAAGTGAAGATTGAGCATCAGAGACCGTCTGGTGAGCTTCAACCTCTTGAAGTACCACACTGGAAGTTGGAAATTATTTCCATGGACTTCGTGGTGGGATTGCCTAAGACTCAGGCGAGTTGTGAATCTATTTGGGTCATTGTGGAAAGACTGACGAAGTCTGCCCATTTTCTTCCAGTGAAGGTGAGCTTCACTACAGAGCAGTTGGCCAAGCTTTATGTTCGCGAGATTGTGAGGCTTCACGGGGTGCCCGAGAGTATCATCAGTGATAGGGACCCGAAGTTCACATCTCGATTCTTGGAGGCGCTGCAAGAGGCTTTTGGTACCCAGTTGAGATTGAGTACCGCCTATCACCCTCAGACTGATGGACAGACTGAGAGGACCATCCAGACCTTAGAGGACATGTTGCGGGCTTGCACGTTGGAGCAGGGCTCGACATGGGATAGGTACCTTTCGTTGGTTGAATTTTCGTACAACAACAGCTTTCATGCTAGCTTAGGCATGGCGCCCTACGAAGCACTGTATGGTAGGAGGTGTCAGACTCATACCTGTTGGTCTGAGGTTGGAGACAAGGAGCTTTTTGCTTGGACTTTGTCCAAGATACCACCCAGCAAATCCAGATGATTAGGGAAAAGTTGAAGCAGGCGCAGAATCGCTAGTAGAGCTACTATGATGTCTGATAAACCCTTAGTTTACCATGTTTTTAGGCTTAATTATGTTTGATATATATCATGAATTGCATGGGAATTAGGGTTTTATACTGTAAATTCACAATAATTGAATATCTTGCTAACATGTTATCATAATTCTTATTTTAAGGGATTTTTGACACCTATTATGGCTCTTTGGAACCAAAAGAAGA